GGTAATAACAAGTCTTCCATTTAGTTCTGCTACCCTAACTAAACTTGCCCATTTCCATGATGTGAGATATAGGCTAGAAACCGCATTCTTTGAGAGGATGAGCTAAAAGCTCTTAATGATTATCATAGCCCTTAATTTTAGGGTGGTGTGCAAAAGCGGTACACAATTGATGATATCACCTATATGAGTGTGAGGTGGGGCCGCCTCCATGAAGCATGACAAAACTTCTGGAGCACTCATGAAAACCAAGCGCGTGCATGGCCTTACGGCGCACAACGACGTAATAACGAGAAATTGTGCGGGGTGAGACACGACCATTAAGACCCCGATTTACCAATAGTAGTTTGTTGGTTTCAAGAAACTATACGTTTCACCAAAAGCTCGGTTTATTAAGACTTAATCATCTCGGTTGGGTTTGAAGTCTACGGACACCAAACTTAAAGTCTTATTCCTTTAATCCAGCAGAAGAAGTTTTCTAAACTATTTTTCAAATTCTCAAAATATTCATTTGAAATATGTGGGGGATTGTTGGAAATATTGAGAGTATTTCAAATGAATAATAATTAGTTAATCAATTTTATAAATTAGATATTTTGGTATATATATATTCCATTAAAAAGGATTTATTATGAATGTTTAATAATAAATTTTTAATCAACGAGTGTGTAGGAGTAAAATTGTGCTCAACGTTTAGTTTCCTAAGCTTTTGAGTCTTTATAGTCCTTAAGTGCTCAATGTTGAAATAAAATTAATCAATCTCAAACTTTAATTCTATTCAATGTATGGATGTTTTTTTTCTTGCATCAATGGCTCAACCTTAAAGCCACTAACGTTGATCACCAACGGCTGGAAAATGTGTGTATATATATACTCTTGCATGCAACTAAAGATGTGATATGATTTTAATTGAGTACCAGCCTACTAGCTAATATATACATATTGAGAAGATGAAAAATACCCCCTAATATTTTCATTCTGCTGGATTAAAAATTTTCTACTCTCGTTGTTCTGTTACCGGCTTACGCCGAAGAGCTCGTTTTATCTTGGGGAAAGATTTTCGCTAGTCGGAAATACTTTCTTGAGGACAGCGTTTATGCGACTCGAGCTATATTATTTTCTAACGTTTTTTTTTGCAGGTTTATCCGACAAATTTCATCCAACAGGACTAAAACAAAAACAAGTACTACTGATGAAAAAATAATATTGAAATAAAGTGTTTCACAAAACTCTTCCTGGTACGCAGGTGGTTCCGGGGGAGGACGAGCTCTTGCAAAATGGGTGAATACTAACTCCACCACCGTCGGAGCGGCTGACCAAGGCTGCACGATCCAACACCAATACAAATATCCGGCCACAACCCGTTCATCCGCCAATGTTATCTCCTTCGACGTAGCTGGAATCCTAAGCGTTAGAACACTTAAAATCAGTATGATATGCCGCTTCAACCTCATATTGACAGAGAAAATTGCCCATAATAATACACTTTCATAGACTTTTGACTAAAATAAGACCAAATTAAGTTTATTACTTCCGTAAGCCTGAAATACTCCTAATTTAGGAAACTTAAAGTCAAGTTACCTAAAATACCCATGAGTGTTTATATTGATTGTATTCCTTCTGGTAACGAATTAACCGCCAACGTCCATGTTCGAAAACTCAATCCCACTCTACCTCTTTTTCAACCTTCACTCTAGACTTCAACTGTCTACCTTGCATAAAAAAATGTGAACTCGGTTCCCATCAATTCTGACTCATAATCTTCATTCCGATTGGAGTTCTCTACAGAATTCCGACTCGGTTTCATTACAATTCATGGATCCTTCATTCTGTGAATTTTCTGTTGTAAGTTTGCATCTTGTGTTTGAATTTTCATTCTGATCACTAGTTTTTTAGTTCGCTATCTTCGAATTTTAGTTTGTTCCTGAATTTTGTCATTAAGTTTCCTTCACACTCTCACATTGTATTTCTCTGAAACTATATGTACAACACTTCAAATTTTTGTCTTATTTTTATCACTTTTGTATGTTGTACTTCGACATTCTTTTGCATCAATAGCTTTTGATCTTCAATATGTTGATTAGTTCTTCTGTTTTTGTTCTTATAACTCTTGCTTTAATTTGTTGATTAGTTGTTCTGTTCTAACTCTTTTGCAGGTTTATCCGGCCAGTTTCCACCAGCACCACATACCCATCATTCTGTTGTGGACAATTACGAACCATCTCCATTCAAATTTTTCCTTTTCCAATATTTGACTCTGACCGCTTGTCATAAACACCCAACATTTCCATCACCTTTGGTAGGAAACTCTCCAAGCAAGGAGTGAAGGCCCTAATGCTTGACAGTGAATCTCTCCATAGTCATACACTCTTATTCATTTACCATTAATGTCTAAGACCAACAATATCTAATTCAGTGGCATGCAGACATAATCAGCTTCTGCCCATGGCAATCCATGTCCTCTATTTGATCCAAGCATTATGTTCATTATTGTGTCACTATAAGCCACATCTGTCATTGTTGTTTTATTATTAAGCACCATTTCACCCTTCATCTTGAGCATTTCGAGAAACAAAGGATCTGTTGTGGCATATTTTTGCTGCTATTGGAATTGCTTTCGTTTCACTGCCAGGTAGTAAAAATCAATTTCTTAATGATGTTTTATGAAACATAGCATTGTAGTTTATATATTACATAAATTTTTATACACTTATCGTGTTGCACAACCAGTGTGGATTTGTGAATAGTTCATAAATCCATGTCTTTGTTCTTATTGTATAATCGTCCATTTGCTGACCAAACTTGCATTTCACTAGTTTCTTTTCTTTCTTTTTGTATTCTTTTGGTACATTGATGCCATGGTTCTTTACTAGCCCTCAATCACAAATCCTATCACCTTTTCTAAATCTTCTGTAGGTGGCATTTGCTTTGGATCCTCACTGAATAGCCCTGCAATTCCAATCACTTCAGAGATTTATGTCTCTTTTCTCCTCTTTAGTGCCCTTTCCATTTTCCTTTTCTTGGTTTATGTGGTTGGGTTAGGAGTGTATATGTCTGGACTCTTAGCAATCCTTTTGGCCTTGTAAAGCCTTTTTGTTCAGCTCCAATAGCACTCGTATCTCCATCATGTGCATTTATAACTTCATGGTAAGTTCCATATATCATTATAATAAATAATTAATGTCTATGTAATTTTATTAACCATTTGGACTATTTGAATGTTTTTTATTAAGTTTTGGTGTTGAATATAATCAATTACCTTATCCTTAAAGTTGTGAGCATTCCTGATTTGTTCATCTCTTTCTTCATTACTTATTGGCTAACACTTATTCGATTCACTATCTTTCATGTTCTCCTGTTCACCAACATATACCTACATAAAATTTAATGTTTGTTAATGCTTATGTTATGTCACCATATGTGCAATTAGATATAATACTCGTACATTTTAATCTACGAAAGTAACTCCTCTTTCTTTTAAATCCTCAGTGTCCATAGTCATTGCTTCATCTTCCTATAATTACATAATAAATATATTGTAGTTAGTGTTTTTAATAAAACAGAAACTGTAATACTATTTAAGTTACCACTTCTTCTATTTTCTTGTCAGTTTCTGTCAAGTCCTTGATGACATCATGAAGGACACTGTCAACACGCAATTCTAACTCTTGTGTGTTTATGCTTGGTTGAGTTAGAGTTAATGAACCTTCCTTCTCAAAGATTACTATCTTCTCTTTTTGTGCACCTATGGGATTTGCATCCTCGCTTTCAACTTCTTTATTGTCTTCATGGTCCTTACTGTCTACAACTTGTACCTTTTGCACGATATTTCCTTCATCCATCTGTGTTTGATCAAGATGTAGGTCAAAACTAGGCATGTCCGGTACCAAAGCCTCTTCATCTACCCTTGTGTCAGATGTTTCATCATTATCCATGCTCATCTCTTGTTCATTACTTTCAGCTTCTCCATTTGATCTGCTTCTTGTAAGCATTAATGCTTTTTAACATATCTGTTTGCTCCTTTTAATCATTGATAAGTCTTTGCATTTCATCTTCCTACACTTTTATTCTACCCTCAAGCTTTTGGGTCTTCTTGGATTGGAGCACCACTGCAGCCATTATATAACGCATAATCACCTTATCCCTCATTTGGTTCCCAACACTGTTTCTTGTCTTCACCAAACGTTGTAATATGAGAAGTCCTCTTACTGTTGCACTCTCACCATTTTGTTCCTTCATACCCACATCTTCTTTATGGTTGCAGTAAGTGTGTTAACCATCGGATGGTATTTTGTGATGCTCATTATCTGGATATTGTGTGATACTCAATCCTGTATGGATATTATGTAATCCCGTGTAGATTATTTGTTTTACAGAAATGGGCCTGTCCCTTTGCTGTCTTGTCCACGTGATATATAGTGGAGTGAATAGAAATTAAAGTTCACACTTCTTCTCCACTTCCTTATTTGTCAAATTATTTACATCAAAACAATGACAAACAGTGCCAAACAGTGTCACAACAGTGTACTCTATAGTAAATTCAAGTTTATTTCTTTAATTTGTGTGAAGTCAAACACCGAACTTTATTTAGGACCAGAGGGAGTATATGCCATAATTTATTTAGATTAGGTAGGAAGGGCTCCATCGGGGATGTTCTTATTTTAATACTCCCTCCGGTTCTCGAACAATTTCCCACTTTCCTTTTCGGGAAGTCCCGAAATTAACTTCACAGTTTTTCTTATTTCCTTATTTGGCAAATTATCTACACAAAAACAGTGCAAAACAGTGTCAAACAGTGTCAAACACTGTCCAAACAATGCCAAACAGTGCACTCCACAGTAAAGTCAAATTTATTTTCTTAATCTGTGTGAAATGCCAAACAGTGCATTCTACAGTAAAGTCAAATTTATTTTCTTAATATGTGTGAAGTCATTGTGAAGCTCTTTGACAACGGGAGAGTATTTTTTTAGCAAAACAGGTAATTTGCTTTCAAAAAAGAACTAACAAATTTAATACTCTTGCAGCCTTGCCCAAAAATGAATTTGCCAAGTCATCGCAAAGACGGCCGAGGACCACTATAACGTCCCAGGGACACGGTGGGAGCAACGGAAGTGCAAGTAAGACCAACCGTCAAAGGCGGCGCAAATTAGCTACAATCGCCGAGCCCCCCCCCCCCCACCCCCACTCGATCATCAATTACCAGCTTCCACCGAATCTAGTGGTGTTTCTCCGATCAACCTCCTACATTTGAATCGCCCTAATGCCATATTACATACACATATAAACATATTTATGCCCAATCAATAAGCCGTGGTAAAGAGTCAGAGAAAGGAGTCGAAACAGGGGAAGATGTGGGTATTTTATATGATATCGCTGCCTCTAACCCTAGGGATGGTGTTATTGACTCTCAAGTACTTTGCTGGTCCTGACGTGCCTCGATACGTCTTCTTTACCGTTGGCTACGCTTGGTTTTGCTCTATCTCCGTCATTGTTCTAGTTCCCGCTGATATTTGGACGGTATGGTCTTTGACATAATGTACACGTTTTTATAACGAATTCTTTGATCATTCCGCTTGCTCTATGTATTTATTTCTCTGAATTTAATCTTACATTGAGTGACTTTAAGTACAGACTCTTTTTTATTGATTCACTTAGATCGTAATTGTAATTTTGAATTTATGTAATTTCCGTGATTGGTTTCTGACAATACTCTCTAGTTTTTACTTACCGAACTTACAAGTGTATTGATAGCTCTGGTGAGTTGCATAAGAGCCCTTTTAGGCGAAAAGAGATCGTTAAAAACTAGCAAACTCATAAAGCATTCATGGTTGCATGGTAAAAGTTGTGGTGTAACTGTCTCAACTCTCAAGTGGAGCCCCATGTAGGCTGCTAGATGATGATGTGATAATTGTGGTTATTGTGAGTATTAACTAGAAGTTGTAGGGAAAATATGATGAATATGTCTTTCACAACAACAACAACAACGTCCAAGCCGTAGTCCTAAAAGATTTTGAATATGTCTTTCACTCTTTTAGTCTTTCTCTACATTTTCAAGTGCTTTTATCATATGCAGTCAATTTTTCAAAACATTTGGGTTCACTGACATCTCCAATGCATACTCCTGTACCAATTTTATATTCTTAATTAATTTATTTTAATGAAACTAATGGTATGTAATCATTTTTCCGAATTTACTTTCTAAAAAGTGGATCACCTTCACATAGTTTAAAAAGGTGGTTAAAAGGCGAGTTTTGAGGTGTGCCTCAATGTGAGGCTCATAGACTAGGTATTCTGATGCCTAGTTTTTTTTTGCAAGATAAGAGGTTTACGCCTCAAAAGTCAGGGCGTACGCCTCAAGGTGTTTTTTTGAGGCAGGATTATTTTTGTTTTTTCTTTTTACCATGCTTGTAACAAAAATAAGGCCTGGTAAATTTATTTAATAAAAGGCCCATACCCTAAACACGTGTCCACATATATTTTGTAGACCCTAACAAGTCTGGAAAGTGAAAGTTATAAACATATTGTGATATGATAATAAGAATGGGAGGACTTTGTAAGTAATGATGGAAGGGATGATGGTGTTAAGGCTATAAGATATGGTGATTAAGCTTCCATTTTGTCATATGTGTGATGTATTTGTTTGTGTGATGATATTCTCATTTTGAATTATTGTGTTTGATGTGATCAGTTTGTGCTTGAGACTGTTAAAGCTTATAATTATGCATATCCATAGTTGATTTTTAGTTATATAAAGTGTTATTTGTTGGTATATTTTGAGGCTTACGCCTCAGCCTCTCCCGGACAAACTGTCTCAATACCCGAACTAGCCTTTTTAAACCATGCACCTTCATAAAAAGCTACATAGATGATCAACATCTTAAATCATAAAAGGGTAAAATTTTAAAAGAGATAAAGTTGATGGAGTTTAGAAAAAGACAAAAACACACGACTTCTAGGATAAAAGAAAAGGAAAGTTGGGCTTACGAGTTTGACAGCGGGTGTACTATGTGTTATTTTTCACAATGTGAATGCAGCAAGGCAGTTTGGTTACAAAGTGGAAGGCCATGAATAAAAGGCTCCTCTTGAAGCAGGAAAACATATGGCACTGTTTCTACTTTCTTTCTAATGAAGAAACTAATGATAAACTTGATGCATTCTGGAAGGAAAACATGTGGTCACTGTATACACTGCTAAATTCTGCAAACACTTTCTCAGAATGTATACCCGTACACACACACACACACACATATATATATATATATATATATATATATATATATATATCTAAGGAAGAACTAATGATTATTAGCTGAATTTTATGAATTTCAGAATTCTTTGACATCGTTTACTGTTTTATGATTTAAAGAATCTCATGTTTTGTTTTGTTTTTTCTTTCAATTTTATTAGATATGGAGTATAAACATGCTTGATTGTTCTGCCACGTATATGCATGTTACATGGTTTATTGTAAATATATATGATTTTATTCTTTATGTTTTATAAACTGTATAAAAATCGGAAACATGGTATCAATAGCAAGTAAATGCTTTTTGATTTCTAAAAAAATAAAATGTCTTTTATTTTCGTATTCAGGAATTGAAAACAAAATCATTACTTTCAATCATGCTTTCTTGTTTCTGCTTTGCAAAAAGGTGAAAACGAAAGCAGAAAGTAAATGATAACATATATACTGTTCTTTTGTGGAAGTCATTATACTCTCTCTGCCCCATATTTATTGGTCACTTTCTTTTGGCATGCTTATTAAGAAAATGAATTGTGTGGTTAAGATTTATTTAGAAAGGAAAGAAAGGATAACAACACAACCCTTTCCTTAGAAGGACATAGGGAGATAGTTCAGGGATGACTAGAAAAGAAAGTATGAAGGTAATCTATATATGCAGGGAGTACTCTATTAGTTTCATTTACCTCTTAATATCTGGATGCATTATTATTCCTGTATTTCACATGTCTAGAACTACTTATACTGTTCTTTTGTAAAAGTCGTGTTATTATTTTCCAGTTGCATAATAACCCTAAGAAATCTGAACCTGTTTCTTGCTCCTCCTTTTATGTTTTCTTTTTTCAATTTAGACAATAGTTGGACAAGGTAATGGAGGCATCTCATTCTTTTGGAGCTGGTCATATTGGAGTACCTTTCTACTAACATGGTATGCTATGGGTAAACAGATGGACTTCCTCCCCCTTTAACTGCTACTTGCTTCTTCTGCTCTAGTGATCAATCAACTTTGGGTGCTTGATATTCAGTTCACACCACCACCTTTAATTTTTTTAGCCGAAAATGTTTTTCCATGCTTCTTGGTTGGAATAGGAGGTTGGAAATGAATGTTTTTAACTACTATCGTACTATACAACTAAGTAGCAATTATTCTAAAGAGTGCCATTGATCACTTGGATAAGTTTCATTGTGCAGTTTTTAAATGCTTTTCAACCAAGCGAAACCTCCAACCTCACCAACACCCCCTTCTTTTTAACTCTCAATTCCTTGTTTAATATTATGAAATTTATTTTGTATGTTTCCCTTCGGACAGGTTTGTTGTCCCGCTTATCCAGGGTTTCGAAGATGCTGGAGACTTTTCTGTAGTAGAAAGACTAAAGACGAGCGTACATGTAAATTTGGTGTTTTATTTAATTGTGGGATCCATTGGTCTCTTTGGGCTTGTTCTTCTCATTATTATGCGGTTGCGGAAAAGTTGGTTTGTTCTAGTTCCCTGAACTCTTTTTTATGACTTTGCATACACTTGTTCTTTCTGTACATAATTTTGTGTTCCATAGAGATGCATTCTGCTCAGTCAGTATGAAATTATAATACTTCTCAGTCATTATGAAATTATAATGTTCCATAATGTGAATTCTGCGGATGAGTGAGCCATGGTTCAAATTCAAGTTTTCGTTGGTGTGTGACTGATGCTGTTCATATTCAATTTGCTAGTCATTGAGAAAATAACCCATTTCCAAGTATCTGCAAACTCACATTCATGGCTGAGATTATGAAAGTAACATCATTTCTAGTGGGAAGAAATAGCACAGTCTATGTGTTACACACCTTTTTTTAAGGTATCAACGTCTCAATCTTAAGTCATCCTAAGACATAGTCAACCTAGAATCTATTTATGTGAAATTGGAAAAAAGTTAAGGATTTTTGTGGTGGCATATTTCTATTGAAGTGTTAAGAATTTGGGTGGGGTGGGGGTGAGGCACTTGTCACATTTCCTTCTTTATTTTCTAGTATCTACATACTTCTAATTTCAGTTTGCTCAAATAAGATAATCAGAATGCCAAATATTGGAGCTTGAAATTTGAACCTTTTACCCCCCACCTTACCCCCACCCCCACATTCCATTGCTATCCAAGTATCCATCCATTTCCTTCTGAGGACTCAATCTTCTTATTTTTCTCTTTGTGGTAGATTATTGAACGATTGTCTTTATGAACATTCAACAATTATTATAGCTTGTACTAGTATAAAAATTTTAGTGTTCTTTTTTTAAAGTTTTTCATCAACATTTTCCTGTGATAGGAGTGGTGGCTTGCTAGGTTTTGCTATGGCTTGCTCCAATACTTTTGGGCTGGTTACTGGTGCTTTTCTTCTTGGTTTTGGCTTAATTGAGATTCCTAAAAGCATTTGGATAAATGCTGATTGGACCACTCGACGGAAGGTGCTTTCACATAAAATTGCCAAAATGGCTGTGAAACTTGATGACGCCCACCAAGAACTATCAAATGCCATAGTTGTAAGTATTTTGATATTTTCTACAATATTGGGATCTACATTGACTGTGATTATGCATATATTTGATGCAAGTGGTTTTTGTGATGACTGAGTTGCTTTACATGCACTAAAGCTAAGTTTCTTATTAAGGACATCGTTATTTTGGAATGAATAAGAACAATAGAAATATGAAAATCGATAAAACTTCTCTTGTTTGGAAACAAGTGATAAGAGAAACGGAGAAAAGAAAACTGAAAGTTGTGGGCTCCACATCTGTTTTATTTCTTATCTTCTATGGAGAGAAATGATTCTCCCACTAAACAACACAAAAGATCTACCCTATTTTACTTTTATTTCTTTCTCACACATTTTCCTCTTGTACTAGTCTTTTACGTGTATTTCCATCATTTGCAATGGAGCCAAAGACTCACTATTTTTTGGCTTGGGAGTATGATGGAATAAAGTAAAATGGCTCACTAAACTGTTTGCGCTTCTTTGTTATGAAGCAACAGTCAGTCCATGCAATTTTCGATGCGATTTTCACTATGGGGTAAGACTGCGTACATCCGACCCCCCTTTCTGGCACTGGGGTAATGATGACGACGACTAGTATTTTACTTGTGCATTGAGGAACAATTGCATGCTACACATTTTTATGCATAAGTCATTATCATCATTTTTCATTTTCATTTACCCCAGTGCCGCAAAGGCTCCCACCTACGGTGGGGTAAGGGGGTCAGATGTACCCAGTCTTACCCCTGTACTAAAGCACAGAGAGACTGTTTCCGGATGACCCATAGTGAAAATCCCGTCCAAAATTGCATGGACTGACTGCTGCTTCATAACAAAGAAGCGCAGACAGTTTAGTGAGCCATTTTGCTTTATTCCATCATAATCTCAAGCCAAAAAATAATGAATCTTTGACTCCATTGTAAATGATGGAAAGCATAAGTTTTATAATGAGTATTTTATATTTTCATTGTCTAAGTTTGTAATAGTATTGGTTTGGAATTTCATAAAATCCACATTCATTTTATGGCTTCGAAATATGCAAATTAAAGGTGAGTTGAACTTAGATAATTGATTTGATAGACTTGCTACCTTTTGAGTTTATCTAATACCATTGATTTGATAGACTTGCTACGTTTTCCTTAATTTATGCCAATCTTCCGTTCCATTCACATTTAGATCTAGGTGCATCTCTATTTCAGTGGTTCTATAGCTTTTGAACACGCTTAGAAACTGTTAGATTTATAAAGATTTATTGGTAGCTAAATAGACTACCAGTCAGCGATATGTTCCGTTACTTGGGCTCCATAATTCAGAAGGATGATGAGTTAGATGGAGATGTGTCCCATAGAATTAGAACAGGGTGGATGAAGTGGAAGAGTGCGTCAGGATTTCTATGCGATCGAGGTATGCCATCTAGACTGAAGGGTAAATTTTATAGGACAACAATTAGGTCTGCATTACTGTATGGCGTAGAGTGTTGGGCGATGAAACAATGTCACATTCAAAAGATGAGTGTGGCAGAGATGCGCATGCTGCGGTGGATGTGTGAGCATACTAGGAAGGACCGCGTGAGGAATGAGACAATCAGACAAAGGGTAGGAGTAGCACCTATTGAAGACAAGATGCGAGAGTCGCGCCTACGGTGGTTTGGTCATGTGCGTAGAAGACCGAGTGATGCACCTGTCAGACGAGTTGAGATGTGTGGAGAAGAGGCAGGGAAGAGAGGGAGAAGAAGACCCAAACAAACGTGGGTTAGGGGAGTTCGAAGTGATATGCTTCTTCTGGTGTTGGATGAGGGCATGACTTTGGAAAGAGCTAAGTGGTGGGCGGGTATTCAGGTGGAGGAGTGATCTCGTATCATCTTTTCCCCTCATCTTTTTTTCCTTATTTTTTATACTTATATATAAGCATTATTTGTATCCTTTTTATTTTATCATTTTTATCTATATTCATCTCTTTTTTATATTATCTTTTTATAATAGCTTATCTTTTTTATCTTTATTTTCTTTCTTTTCCTTTTGGTGGTGATATCATGTATCGATTCATGTTAGCCGACCCCAATACCTTTTGGGACTAAGGCTTGGATGTTGTTGTATTGGTAGCTAAATAGACTCCTCTGTATTTTCTAGAACTTGTATTTTCTAGAACTGATCTTTCATCTTCTTTGACCTTTCATCTCCTCACTCTCATTAATGTACTTGTACACTCATTATTATAAATAAAGGAGTTCAGGGTTGTGGACAGACAACAACAACAACCAAGCCTTAATCCCAAAAGAATTTGGGGTCGGCTAACATGAATCGATCTATGATATCGATGCCAAAAAGAAAATTATTCTCTTCCTTTAACTCTCTTTTATTCAAGTTGATATCAGAGACAGGTTCTGCCATCTCTATCCAGCCCTGGCCTCTGCTCATTGTCGCAGACCTAACGTCGTTGTTTCCATATGGCTTCCGGTCCAACCCAACTCTTCTCAGGAACTCCTTCTATCACTTCAGAGAAGCTTAATAGGAAAAATTATATGTCTTGGTCAGCTGCTGTGGAACTTTGGTTTCTGGGACAAGGGTACCATGACCAACTTGAAAAAGATGAAAATGAGATCAAGGAAGAACCTGAAAAATGGAAAAGGTTAGATTACCAATTGTGTGCTCTATTATGGCAGTCGGTAGAACCCAATATTTTAGAGACCCTCAGAACCTTCAAAACTTGCAAGATTTTTTGGAAGAAAGTCCAGGAGATCTTTGCAAATGATATTCAGCACCTATATGATGCTGCCGACAAGTTAGCATCTCTTAAACAGACAGATCACAATATGATGTCGTTCATTGCCGAAGCGCAAGCTGCTGCCGAAGAACTGAAGATGTCCTTAGAAGCTGAATCTGTAGAGGAAACCAAGAAGAAACTGGATAAATTTTATATGGTAATGATCCTCCGAGCCATGAACTCTGATTTCGATCACGTTAGAGATCAAATCCTTACTGGATCTGAGGTACCAACCATGGACAGTTTAACAACACGTCTCCTTCGGATTCCCACTCTCAAGGGTGACAAGTCTCAAGAACCTGCAGAGTTTTCAGCCATGGTATTTCATGGAAGAGGGGGTCGTGGAAACAGAGGAGGACGTGAAGGAAGAGGACGTCCCCAATGTACCCATTGCAAAAGAATGGGTCACACCCATGAGAACTGCTACTTTCTTCATGGGTTTCCTAATAAAACCGCCAACTTCTCTAAATCTAAAGTTTCTGAAGTTTCTGATCCAAAACTGTCTGGTGAGGAATACCAAGAGTATTTGAGACTAAAGTCCAACAACTCAGCAGAATCTTCCAAAACTCCGCTTACATCAACTGCTTGCGTTTCACAATCAGTAGAAAGTCAAAATCCATGGATAATTGACTCAGGTGCTTCTGACCACATTTCTATTTCTGGTAATACTTCTGTGTTCTCTTCTCTCTCACATCTTCAACACCCACATCTTATAACCTTGGCAGATGGATCCAAAACAGCTTCCCAAGGAATTGGCCAAGTATCCCTTTCTCCTACATTGAACTAAAAATCTGTTCTTTTTGTCCCCACATGTCCGTTTAACCTCATTTCATTAAGCCAATTAGCAAAGTCATTGAACTGTACTGTAACCTTTGATGCTAATTCATTTGTTATACAGGAATGTGGAACGGGTCGGATGATTGGAGAAGGATATGAATCTAGAGGTCTCTACTATTTTGGAAACAAATCACCCGTCTCTTGTCTAGCTACTCCTTCTCCCAAACTCTTGCATGAACGTTTCGGGCATCCACATTTAGCAAAACTAAAGAAAATGGTTCCTGAACTCAACGGTCTTCAAACCAGAGTGTGTCTTGTCAGATCGGGAAACATGTTAGATCTTCATTTCCCAGCTATTCTGAGTCTAGATGTAATTCTGCATTTTCTATGATCCATTCTGATGTTTGGGGACCAAGTCGGGTTTTCTCTTTTGGTTTCAAATATTTTGTCACGTTCATTGATGAATTTTCTAAGTGTACTTGGGTTTATTTAATGAAGGACTGTTCTGAACTTTTGTCTATCTTTTCCTGCTTTCTTAATGAAATTCACAATCAATTTGGAACAGTAATGAAAATTTTAAGGAGTGACAATGCCAAGGAATATTTCTCCTCTGGTTTTTCTTCCCTCTTAAGCTCACATGGCATTTTACACCAGTCCACTTGTCCTCATACACCTCAACAAAATGGTGTAGCGGAAAGGAAAAATAGACACTTGATTGAGACTGCCCGTACTTTATTACTTGGTGCCAATGTACCAGTTCATCATTGGGGAGATGCTGTCTTAACTGCCTGCTTTCTTATTAACAGAATGCCATCCTCTTCTCTTAATAATAAAATCCCTCATTCAGTGTTGTTTCCTAATGAACCTCTCTTTCATGTCTCCCCTCGTGTGTTTGGTTGTGTCTGTTTTGTTCATGATATGTCTCCAGGATTAGATAAACTCTCGGGCTCGGGCTGTCAAATGTGTTTTCTTAGGTTATTCCCGTCTTCAAAAACGGTATCGTTGTTACTCTCCTTAGAATAAGAGATACTATATGTCTGTCCATGTCACATTCTTTGAACAAACTCCTTTTTTCTTAGTTAGAGATCAATCTGTCCAGCAAGTTCTCCCTATACCATCTCTTAAGCCCTTTGTTCCGTCTATTGTCAATGACTCCATTCCCAACCAGTCTCCTTTAGATCCAGTAGACGACTCAACCAACCAAAGTCCTCCTCTTATTACCTACCAATGTAGGACCCGACAAACCAATTCAATTCTTCAAAGTGAGCCCTCTTCAGCGGATCCTTCTCAATCATCACCCTCTTCCACAATTCTTGATAATGATGATTTAGCTTGGCCGGTTGCTCTCAGGAAAGGTACTCGCTCTACCCGTAATCCACATCCTATTTACAATTTCCTTAGCTATCATAGACTTACTCCTTCCTATTGTAACTTTATATCCTCCGTCTCCTCAATCACAATTCCCAAAGA